GTGTTTCTGTGAGGCGTTCATTTTAATACTGTGTTTCTGTGAGGCGTTCATTTTAATACTGTGTGCCTGTGAGGCATTTACTTTTGTACCATGTTCCTGTGAGGTATTCATTTGAATACTGTGTTCCTGTGAGGCATTTACTTGAATACTGTGTTTCTATGAGGCATTCATTTTAATACTGTGTTCCTGTGAGGCATTTACTTTAGTACTGTGTTCCTGTGAGGCATTTATTTTAATACTCTCTGAGAGACATTCATTTTAATACTCTCTGAGAGGCATTCATTTTAATACTGTGTTCCTATGAGGCATTTACTTGAATACTGTGTTTCTATGAGGCATTCATTTTAATACTGTGTTCCTGTGAGGCATTCATTTTAATACTGTGTTCCTGTGAGGTGTTTACTTTAACACTGTGTTCCTGTGAGGCATTCATTTTAATACTGTGTTCCTGTTATGCATCCACTTTAATACTGTGTCCCTGTGATGCATTCACTCTAATACTGTGTTCCTGTGAGGCATTTACTTTAGTACTGTGTTCCTGTGAGGCATTTATTTTAATACTCTCTGAGAGGCATTCATTTTAATACTGTGTTCCTATGAGGCATTTACTTGAATACTGTGTTTCTATGAGGCATTAATTTTAATACTGTGTTCCTGTGAGGCATTCATTTTAGTACTGTGTTCCTGTGAGGTGTTTACTTTAACACTGTGTCCCTTTGAGGTACCTACTTTAGTACTCTGTCCCTGTGAGGCATTTACTTTAATACTGTGTCCATGTGATGCATTCACTCTAATACTGTGTCCCTGTGAGGCATTTACTTTAATACTGTATTCCTGTGAGGCATTCATTTTAATACTATGCAGCTAGTTTTGTTTGTCGAACGAGAAGAATAGAAATGGGATAAAACACCAAAATATTTAAAGTGTAAGCTTTTTTTCATAAGTTTCACAGCGCTAGAGACACACTTGAATTAAAATTAGATAATATATTAGTAACAGATAGGTTCTTTTATAACAGATAGACAGATAGATCATCCTTATTTTTATGCAAGTGACTTGAAATAAACTATGTATCAGTATTCGTATTTGTATTTAAGGGAAGGCTACTAAGGTTATTTGTCGTCGCCCCTAATCTTGAACTACCGACCAGAGGGAACGCAGGAAGTCAGTAACACCACACTATCCATGCTAAGGGATTCACTATCATTCTTATAACGCACCCTCAGCAAAAACTGGAGGGTGGTATTTTGCGGTATCATACGGATTCAAACCTGGGCATCTAGCTTCGTTCTGTACCGCAAACACGTGACTCTATAAGTATTCATAATGTGTCTGTTTCTAGAAATAGTGCAGTAAAAAAAAAAACGTTTATGCAAGAAACATTATTGTGAGACTGTGAAAAACTTGTTTTATAAAAGCAACTGATATTAGGACGCTCGTGAAACGTGCGTTTGTCTAAAGTATTTACTAGTGTCACAACGTGAAAACACACGAGGTACAAAAAAGTTATGATTCCAGAAAAACATGTCTGTTTCGAAAAATTGCTATACATAAAACACTAACAGATACTTGTGTAACAAATAATTAGCATCTATTTTCCAATGTGGGAAGTAATACGGAAACCACGTGCTTCTTTCAGATAGTCAGTTTCGCGGTATCATGATCTTTGAAAACGTTACATTCACTAGCGGATTTATGGGGGACGTGAGTTGTTTCGTTAACAGTACGAACACTGCCATCTGAACGATATATCAAAATTAAAAAGATGACCTAAAATAAATGTTATCTGTCTCTATGTTTCTTAAGCATCTATTACCTTTGATAAGGTACATGTATATATATATATATATATTATACGTATGTATGTGTGTATTGAAGCTTCATATTCAGAAATGGCTAGAATTAATTGGATGATAAAAGAGATAAATCCTCCCACTTAAGCAAGTCACACGAACATGTCTGTTTGGACTTTGAATGGAAGAGTCCATGGTTCCTGACCCGTTGTTGCAAAAATACGCTATGCACTCTGGGGTCCTAGGTGCGTTATAAGAGTGACAATTACTATTCGATCGACAGAAGTAGTAGTGACTAGCTGCTTTTCCTATAGTTTACCGGTTCAGTTCAAAAGTAGCAACATATATTGTGTAAATAGCCTTTTGTGTAGTTTTGCGTGAATATTCTGAAATGAAATAATATTTCCCTCACATGCTGACTTCACGAAAACCATTTATTTTATCTGGATTATGAACTATGTGTTATATGCAAAGACAGAAGAAAAAAAAGAAAACAGTTAGCTCTGGAAATCGTAAAGTCTAGATTTTGACTTTAAAAACAAATTTCCTGCCATAGTTTGCCAAATTTATATAATGATTCACTACATTGTTTATGAAAAATTTCGAAGTTTTCACAGTGAACGATTTGAAGTTATTTGGTAACAGATGAAACAACCTTCTCCCACACGACACACACACACACACACACGAAAGTCAAACTCGGTTTAAATAAATAAGTATATAGGTATGAATTTAAGTGACAAGTTATGCTGGGCTAATATGTAAAGAGTAGCTGCTTTATTAGGCTTCTAAAATATATAAGTCCCTACCCACTTTTCTGACTTACCATATATATATACAGGATGAAAAATTAGTTGTTTTTCTTTGTAAGCTTATCGTACGTTTGTAGCATCTGTGTATATTTTTATTTGAAAGGAATAATTAATAGGTCTTGGCTCAGCGATTCTCATAAACCTGAACATATACAAGTGGCGAGCATTAACCAAAACTGTTTCCTGCTTATAAAAACTAGCACAGAATACGTAAGTCAATCACTCCTACAATGACATTAAACGTTTGTCTCTTTTTTTTTTCTGGTATTTATTAAATGAGGTTTTCTAATCATCCCCGTGATCCTGGTAAGGCCTGGAACATAATGAGTTGAAAGTCGAGCAAAGCATTGTGTGGAGCAAATTTCCGGTTTCTGATAGAGGGTGATTTGATACTTTGTATATCAAGATACTACAGTATCTAGTACAAATTACCACTCATAGATAGCAGCACCATTTTCCACTTCAGTGATACTGCTATCGTTTGCCCAAAACTGTTCGAAATATGTTATTATAATACCTTTGAAGTCTATATAACTACTACGCTTGCGTTTCTCTGTCCGAAACTTTTTTCGCAAATTTCTCGATCAAACGCTACCAATCTCATATAGTTAGAAAGGCCTTTGACCGAAGAGTGCGGATTGCATATTGGCATTTCCATTCAGAATCACCTCACCTGTTATTCGATTAGTCAAATGCAGCAAGTATGCTACAAGATGGCACAATGTCATTGTCATCACGTGACGACTGGCTTCGATTTCATCTTTACTTTTTTATTTGCAAAGTATTTCACACAAACAACAATTAACCCGTGTGTAGTCTCTTTAAAAATGAACATTAGGCTAAATACAATTGCTACGGGCTTTCTCGACTTATTTAGGTCTAAAACACGTACGTGTAATTCGTTCAAAACCACATGCCAGTCTCTTTGTAAACACGCGTTCAGACGTTTCTGCATATTGAGCTAACTTTGCCTTCCTTACAACTTTACATTTACTTTACTTTGCAGTAATTTAGATTCGGTTCGTTTCATAGACTGCTATAAACACCCTTTAGTTACATTTTTCTTTAGTATGGGTTTTATTCTTCGTTTTTGATTAGTTTATTTGTTTCAACTCTTAAGACGTGTCTTACACTAAACCTTCATAACTGTTTCATACTCTGTACACTATTTAGTCTTCGTGAATTTGCTTGTGTGACCTACAATTTTTTTTTTTTTCAAATAGACCAGGATTTATCGATCTAACACATAATGCCTGCAATAAAACGTAGGGTAGATGCCGTGCGTGAAAATGATAGAATAAGGAAAATTCAAGCAGAGGGCACGAAAACTACCTCAAATATTTTACTGGTTGCGGCTAGTTTTATGATATATTAATTTTTATTTATCACCAAATTTGCTGACACTTGAATTATTCGTGTCACGTATGTTACTCCATATTTACTTAGAAACATGTTCGATGATTTATGTCTGGTTTAATGCGGTTTTGTTTTTATTTTCATAATTTACTGACTTTATCTGATCCGAAAACGAAAGAAACTTAATCTGTTTACAATATTTTATTTTGGATTTAAAATACAGGTGCACGTGTGAGTAAGTAGTGCGATTAAGTTGGCCAACAAATGTGAAGATACGTCTTGGTGAAATATAAATTAGCGTTTTCAATGTAGTATAAAGCATACTATCTCATTAAGTATATAAAGACCTAATGACCAAATAATTAAGAACTTCAGAACCTTTGTTTGAAGCTATGTCAAGGGTTATGATATCACTACACTAGCTTTTTACACTCTTTTAATTTCCTGTTTGATGTGCCCCCCCCCCCCCAGCGGCATAGCGATAAGTCTGCGGAATTATAATGCCAGAAATCGGATTTCGGTACCAGTGGTGGGCACGACACAGATAGCTCATTATGTAGCTTTGTTATTTCCTACAAACAAGCAAAAAAATCGATCTCTGTGCCAGTTTGGTTTCTGTTTTGATGTTAAACTAAAGGTGTCTTACACATTTAACATTTCATTATCCTTTATTTATTTTCTTCTGGACTTTTAAAATATATAGTTTGTCTAATAATTAACATGGCTTCAAAACGTAGCCTCAAAATCCATTACGTAAACATGGCAATGCAACTCCACACTTGCATTAAGCTGTGGCAATTTTAATGGGATACCGCACATCCACGTTGAAAAAAACAACAAACCATTAACACAAATACAACCAGTATCACGTTGTCATTGATTTACATTATTGACGGAAAAGCGTATTTTACTATACTAATAATACATATACAAGTATCATCTGTATTGGATTATTTTGATGATGCCACTTTCTCACGGTGTGTAATCATATATTCATTCATATAATGTTTAACTATAACACTTTCTTTACCAGGACGACATGGTCTGTCTACAATGTACAGCAACAGGAGAGAGAGTATGTCTTGCGGCTGAAGGTTTCGGTAACAGACATTGTTACTTAGAGAACATAGCTGACAAGGTGAGTTTTTACAGTGTATATTTTTTAAATGGTTAATGATGTATGTGAGTTTATTGTCAGTAAGACATATATTTTAAAGCATAGAAATATAAACTTTCGGTTTCTAGTCGGAAAGATTCAAATCATTTGAAAAGAATGGACAGCTTTCCCACACGACGTACACTTTTATGTATTTACGATTGAACGAGCTTGGTCATTGCACGAACTTCAGAAGATGGCGACAGAAACTTGATACGACGAAATAGTAAAGCTACTTATGTCTTTATGGTGTTATGGGTCTCATTCTAAAATTTCACGCTTTCCTTAACTCACTTTTAAAATAATAATAGTAAAAATAATTATTTTATGAACTATCGCTTTCTGACGAGATACCGCGATGTATTCTACAGCTTGAAATATTTTGCATATAAAATAGTTTCCACACACACACACACAAAAAGCGTGTTCAGTGCTTGGTAAAGATTACTAGATAACGGAGAAAAGGTAAATTCTTGTTTAGTAGCCCGGAATAGTGTGAACAATTTAGCCTTACCGTAAAATACATGCCAAAGTCCTGAAAATTGAAATGGAAAAATAAAGCTGTTAAAAGTGGAGTAAAATTTCTAACTTGAGTATTCAAATGCTAGTTTGCCTGTCAAAGTTTATTTGATTAGGAAGGCAATTTTATGATGGAGTGACTTCTTTTATAACGGTTTCTATACAAAAATTTGCTCAGATTTGGGAGAAAGTAAGCTGAAGCACGCTGAAAGAAGAGCGTTTTATGTTATAAGTGTTTGTTCGTTCGTTTCAATAATTCGAGCAAATCTACACAAATGCTATCTGCTGTAGCCATTCCAAAATTTGAACTGATGGACTACACAGGGAAGTCAGCTAGTTAACATTACCTACTACCAACTCTTGGGTTACTCTAATCGAATAATGAAATTTAACCATCAATCCTATAACGCACCAACATTTCCAAACTGCGGATCGCGATTTTGAGGCAACGAAACACGAATGACGGACCCTCGGATTCCCAGTTCAGTACGGTAAGCACCAGGCCACTCTCGGTTCTAGGTTATAAACTACTTTTCATACAAGTGAAGCAGATAAAAAGTCACCAGAATCTGAATCGCTTGAGTAAATATTCAAATTAAAGTAGGAAATACGTCACACCGCGTTCCATTCCTATATATGATGAATATTAAAACGAAAATAGGAAGTTCGTTAATCCAATACCATTCCTATAAAGGATAAATATTAAAACGAAAGCAGGAAGTAGGTTAGCCTTAATACCATACTAATACAGGGCAAATATCAGAATGAAAGTAGGAAGTATGTTAACCCTAATACCTTACCAATACAGGGCAAATATTTAAATGAAAGTAGGAAGTACGTTAGCCTTAATACCATACTAATACAGGACAAATATTAGAATGAAAGTAGGAAGTATGTTAACCCTAATGCCTTACCAATACAGGGCAAATATTTAAATGAAAGTAGGAAGTACATTAACCCTAATACCATACCAATACAGGGCAAATATTAAAATGAAAGTATGAAGTACGTTAGCCTTAATATCATACCAATACAGGGCAAATATTAGAATGAAAGTAGGAAGTATGTTAACCCTAATACCATACCAATACAGGGCAAATATTTAAATGAAAGTAGGAAGTACGTTAATCTTAATACCATACCAATACAGGGCAAATATTAACATGAACGTAGGAAGTACGTTGCCTCTAGTACCACACAAACATTCAATAAATGTTTAAATGAAAATAGCAAAAATATCACGCCTTTTCTCCCCTCCACCCTTACCTCTCAGGTAACGCTAGAATTCTGAATTCGATTCGTACTGTAGACACAGCTAAGATAGCATATTGTGAAACTTTGCTCTTAACAACAACAAACAAAAAAAGCAAACATCTTATCGGGTATTATAAGAACATCTGTAATTCACTTTTTTTTCATACCGACTTATCAAGATGGAAACATTCATGTGTCTCGCAGTTAGTCTAGTGAACAAGCGTTCAATATAATATACCCAATGACCTTAGAGTAAGTTAGGATAATATTTCAGTGTTATTTCAATAATCTATTGCTTCTGGACAGAATTTCCCACCTGAGATGTCATCATGTGTGTTTGTGATCGAACAAGCTTTATCAGTGCGTGCCCTTCAAGAGATGGTGACAGCTACCTCATCAGACAAGGTAATCAAACACTTTATATACCATATCACGATCCTGACAATTACCGAGGTTTTAGCCTCTGTACGTTTTCGAGGTGGTAATACCTACTTCAGAACTCTTCTTTTTTTTGGACACATCTATGATGTTTCTAGGTAAATTACATGACGTTGTAACGTAATGTATTTCTAGTATAGTGTGGATGTAGAGATAAAACGTATCTTTTCCTTGATGTGGTTATTTGCAAATATTAATAGTAATTTCGTAACCATTAAGAAACTATGAATTATAGCTATTCATGTTGATTATTCTTACATCGACAATCTGAAAAGGTTATGTATTCTAACTTATGATCAAAATGCCTCATACAGAACCATTTGACATGTAATTTCAAACTTCATCCCGTGGGAACATGCTCCAGACCACTCCCTAATCTGTATCTTGGAATATCTTCAAATACGACTAAGTTTTAAACTTAACTGACGAGAGGTATAGTATTGTCAAAATAATTATGAATTTCTACAGAGTCTGCTTAAAACGTGAGTGACTGGAGTTACGGCAAACACAGGAAAACTGATCCATATTTATTAATCTTTTCACCTAAGTATGCCCCCCCCCCTCCAGTGGCACAGCGGCATGTCTTCGGATCTATACTGCTAGAAACCGGGTTTCTATACCCGTGGTGGGCAGAGCACAGATAGCCCATTGTGTAGCTTTGGTAATCGCTACTGTCAATATACTCACGCCAAACTTTTGTCTTACTCTATACTTCTTTTTTTTTTCAGTGCTTCGTAACGTCACAGTAGCTTATTTAGATTGTTTTTGCTTCCAGGTCCTCAAAATATAACCTCGCTTTTGCTGAAACTTTTGTGTTCTAAACTAATGCTGAATCAGCTTGTTGTGATCCCCATTTTTTGTTGTTTTTTGTATCTCCTGGGCGAACGCCAGAGATCGTGCACGCCAGGCGAGTGCGCTATCAACTGAGATAGAGGGTTAACCCACTAACAATTGCTAAGAAAGCACTTTAAAAAAAAGTCAAATTACCTCATTCTTCCCCTCTCACAAACAAATTCCGTTCGCCAGTTTTTTGTTTTTGTTTTTGTACTAATTAAGTTTTGTGTCTCCTGCAAGTAGGAATGAACGTAGGACCTCATACGAGCGCGCTACTAACTGAGTTAGAAGGTTAACTCATTAGAATTTGCTAGATTGCTGTTAAGGCACTTTTTTTTAACAGTTCAAACACTACAACAGAGCATTGGAGTTGGTGGCACGTTTATGTAACACATGACCACAATAAATCACTGCAAATTAATATATAATTTTTATAACTTCCTAATCATTGGCGAAAAACAACAACAACAGAAAAAAAAAACACGAAACACTCAACAAGGCATAAGCTAGACGGAAGGTATTTATATATTGTAGTACAACTTTTGTTCAATCATACAGGATGTTTCTTAACTTTAATCTGTTTTTATATGCATATATATATAGCCTCGTTAATGCTATATGTTTCTTGAGAATATAATTATTTATTATCAATAACTTCTGATCGCAGCCAGCTATCTACATAGATTAGAACTTAAAATTAAACTATTAAGAAATAGAGTTAGTTTATTATACTGTTCTTACTGGGATTATCCAAAGTTATGAAACAAAAATTTATAATGATTTAGAGTGCTTTGATTTATTAATGCTTTCGGTCGTAATTCCAATAATATCTCGTAAGGTTCGGCCAGCTTAGGAGCTTTAGGTTAGTCTAGTAATTCAAAATAATCAATGAAACTAGTTTTGAAGAAAGTGTAGAATACAAAATAACTTCTCAAATAATTCATATATTCAGAAAGATTCACAACGTTTATATTTGTAGGGTAAAGGAACCCAATCGGGCCACAGAACGCTGCTGTACGGTCATGCTGTACTTTTACGACACCAAAACAGCAACATGGTGAGTGTTACGCACGTTACTATTGGCATGATATATGTATGTATTACTGTAAACAAACAAGTTATATATATATATGTGTGTATTACTGTGGAGAAACAGGTTGGCATATATATATATATATTAGTGTATACGAACTGGGTGACATATATATCTATTATAATAATACTCGGTTTTTGTCTGTTCTTAAAATGCGCACACATCTTACTATGTACTTCATTTCAACGGATGTAAACAAAAGGCGGATGTAAATATGCTTTAGTAGACATTTCATACAACAACATATTAAAAGGTTATCATTTTTTTTAAAAAAAAAGGTCTAACGTTAGGTAGTAGAATAATATTATACGTTTATTTACTGATAGTATTAAATACGGTAAAGTTTAGCCCTAACTAAACGAAAGCGAGAAACATACATAAGTTACAGTGTTAACTTGTTTATCTATCGAATATAGGCCGTGATAGTTTAACTAATGTTAGGCCTAAGACAAGTGGACTTACAGATTTCGGTGTCTGCGATTAGAATTTTTTTGTATTATTCTACAAATGTTGTATTTAAAGAAGAACTGTTGCAATAAAGATACTACTTCAAGTTGACCGCAAATGTTTTGCAGGTCTCTGGTGTTATACATATATTAACATAAAGGAACAAAGTAATATATACGCATTACTGTATACGAAAGGGGTGACATATGTGTATATATGTATATTACAGTAGAAGAAATGAGTGGTACATATATAGATATGTGTAACTGTAGAATATATATATATATATTATCCAAATATTGATACCAGAAATCTACAAAATGAATCACTTTCATTAAGAATGTTCTCTGTGTTATTTTATAACTATTAACTTTGTCATGTTACAGTATCTTGCTTGTCTTTCTACGAGTTCATCCAACGACAAACTGGCATTCGATGTTGGTTTGCAAGAACATTCTCAAGGTAAGGAGTCAATTTTGATTTATGTACCCCAGAGTTATGCGTAATTTATATACATATATATATTACTGTATGGTGACACTACTCTAGAGTTATATGTAATTGCTTCATATAACACCATGACGACACTACCTCAGAGGTATGCATAATCGTTTTATATACCACTATATGGTGACACTACCTCAAAGTTATACGTAATTGTTTCGTATATCACTATATGGTGACACTACCTCAGAGGTATGCATAATCTTTTTATATACCACTATATGGTGACACTACCTCAGAGGTATGCATAAACGTTTTGTATATCACTATATGGTGACACTACGTCAGAGGTATGCATAATCGTTTTGTATATCACTATATGGTGACACTACCTCAGAGGTATGCTTAATCGTTTTGTATATCACTATATGGTGACACTACCTCAGAAGTGTGCTTAATCGTTTTGTATATCACTGTAGTACCGGTATATGTTTTCCACCCCTTTAGTTAAAAAGTCAATTTTTTTAAATTATGTTATTTTTTAAACGGTTGAAACACTGTGGTAGTCAAGCAAGTTTTCAACTATAATTTTCCTTAATTAAGGGACGATCTAGGTTAAGTGAGGTTAAGCACCTTCTTGTTTGATTCTCTTACAGGAACAACGTGTTTTTTTAATTATGGAGCTGAGTAATTAATTGTTGCAAGTGAACTTGCCCTTAATCTTCACTGTCCGTTCGCCAGATGATCCAACAAGCACCAAGTACTTTTTTGTTTAGTCAGGAACTTGAGGGTTTATTAACACACTTAAGACAGTGCTTGGGCCTGGGGTGAGCAGAATTACATAGATTTTACACAAAAGTTACAGAGATTTGATACAGAATTTACATAAATTTACAGAGATTTCGTGTGTATTTATTCAGTTAATTTGTTCATACTGATATTTTCCTTTTGTTTAACATAGCGAGAAGTCTTAAAAGTCTCACGCTAGGATTGTGTTTCTGCGGCTTGGTACCTTTTATTTCATTTTGTTTCAGGAGTGCTTGTTAATTTAACATTCTATGGTTAAAGTAAGAAAGAGTCCGTGTTTTCGTATTTTTTTGCAAGACAGCTTTAACATACGGAAACATCTGTTAGCTGAGTTCTTGCACAGATCTTAAAATATAACGTTGATAAATGGAAACATCGGCACATGTAGATACATAGATCTATAGCAACTGGTCCAGTTATCAACGCTATTTTCAAGTTTTGAACAACTCGACTTTCAAGATCTACGCTGTATAAGAGCAACAGTCAAATCTCACTATTCGAACAGACAAGACCTGGGTACTGTTCACTATCTGCTTTCCCTCTACTCTGGTATTTTAAAATTAGGGACGGCTATGAGTAGATAGCCCTTATATAATTTTGCGCGAGAATTCTAAACAAATACCCCCACCCCCAATGTTACAGCGGTATGTCTGTGGACTTACAACGCTAGAAACCGGATGGGAAAAGCACAGATAACCCATTTAGTAGCTTTGTGCTTAACTATAAGCAAACAAACAATCTAAACAAATAGCAAAACAATTATACTTATTGCTTTTCAGTGACTTTACTGTTTGCACGAAAAATATATTTATCTTTGAATTTAGTTTTCTAAAGTTTGTTATTCTTTTTTTTTTTCATGACTCATCTAAAAAGGAATCCCAGATTGTTGAAACCCATATTGGAGATTTATTTTGTCTCTAGTCAATACCAACATTCACGGTTTTCTGTCTGAAGATTAATTTGTCTTTATGTTATCACTCTGAATTTTTAACGTAATCTGAACCTATGTTTGTTGTTGTGTTCTTTTCAATTTCAAATAAGTTGCTGACGGGGAGAATCTATAAGACCGAACTTGTTGCCTTGGTAACGGCTTTCCATCAGCATAATATACTTCTGTTCAAATGCTTGAAGGTATTCATAGTATATAGAGCAAGCCATAGAAATCACGTACGTGAGGTAGGCATAAGTACACATGTTCTGTATAAAGAGTGGGCAAAAGATTTTAGACAGTCTGATCCTCCAGAGATTAGTTAAGCCTAACATCAGTACAAGTTAATATTTTGTAAGTTTAGCATTCGACAGACAAATATTCTCATCACTTATTGATTGTTCCCATAACCTAAAATAATATCTTAAATATATATTGGAGTAGATTTACGTATTATGGTTTAAAGAAAATATCTGTTTACTCATTGCTTTGAACACTCCCCCCCCCCACCCCCAGTGGCACAGCGGTATGTCTGCGGACTTCCAATGCTAGAATCCGGGTTTCGATACCCGTGGTAGGCAGAGTACAAATAGTCCATTGTATAGCTTTGTGCTTAATTACAAACAAAGAAACTTTTTTTCTTTTTTACTTTTCTCAAATTATTTATTTTTTCCAGGAAGAGCGAAGGTTGCTGCTTTTTTTGTTTTCCGCGAATTCTTTGTTTTCGTTTATTTGTGTGGATATTGGTGTTTATTTATACGTTCAAGACTCTAAAGAACAATTATAGTTGGAAGAATTTCTATTGCCAATGAGTTCGGTTTCAGTTTTGGTGTGATTTTTTTAATCGATAGGGTTTCTTTTATTTTGACAACTTTTTCGTTTTTGGAACCTATTTGTTGTTCTTGTTTTCTTAGTGCAAAGCTACACAATCTAAGCTTGGATTTTAGCGTTATAAGTTCGTAAACCTATCGTTGACCAATCGGGGGTGTGTGTGTGGGGTGGGGGGGGGTACTGCATATTATGGCAAAACTCTTTTCTTCAGCAGTATCATCACAATTCTGGTTTAGATGTTTGATTGGAGTTAATATTTTCAATACAAACCGAGTGGCCTTGACTTGTCTTTTATATGAAATATTTTCGAGTTCAAAAGGGTAAAGGTCAAAGTCGTTTCTTTGCGATTATCAATATCTTCTGATCAAAAGTAAACTACCTAGAAATCAGAAACTAAAAATTTACATAAATTATTAAACCTAATTATTTTTTAACAAACTGACTATAAATACTTAATGCCATAAATCAACACACAAGAAAATTAGTTTGTAATGATTCAATTACATTGATTCACCAGTTCTGATCAGAATAACACGTCTGAGGTTGGTATTTTTATATTAGCCAGACTGGTCTTTTTTATAACTGGTGATTCGGTTAGAAAACACCTCGATGAACTTATTCTTTACGTTAGCCAGACTGGACTTTTTGATAACTACTGATCAGAGCTTTTCCTAAGAATTTTTTTCAACTGCACGATGATAGTCTAACTTCATCATTTGTTAATACATGACGCCTTATTGCACCTCACATATACAGGCCTAGTAACAAATGATCCAAAAATGAAGAATATTCTAGTAAATACATTTATTTATCAACTCTGGAAGGGGATTTTATAATCTTAAATATGTTTTTTTAATAATATTTACCCACTTGAACTTACTTATATAGGTGAATTTTCAACAGCAAAAATATTTTTACATATGCACAATTTATGGTCAACTGCACACTAGGAAAACCTTCGCTACTGATCTGGTTAACATGACGCCTCTAAGCCTGGTCTGTACATTAGTATTTTTGATAACTAATGATCTGGTTAGGATAACACCCCTAAGCCTAGTTTGTACATTAGCCACACTGGGCTTGGTTTATAGATTAAACATACGTATGTTTTTTAAATTAATTAGTCAAAACTATAAGTTTCAAGTGTTTCTTCGTGTTACAAAAACCAACAACAATATTATACGTTTAAAAAACAGGTCAAAACTTTATTTCATGGGCGTAACTAAGTTGTTTTCTTTGTGTGTGTGTGTCGGGGGGAACAATTATTACCTCATTGACGAGAGATATTTATATTATCTATTATGAAGCGTCGTTTAAATGGTGATCATGCTTTACAATAATAATTTAGGACACAATGTTGGCCCTAACTTGCGTTTGTTTTACCTAACATTTTTCAGCTGTTTTTATTACACCATCTCCAGTGCTTCAGCGATGTGTTTGCGGACTTATAATGCTAAAAACCAAGGTTCTATACTCTTGGCGGGCACGACACAGACAGCCTAATGTGCGGCTTTGTGCTTTAATATAAACAAAAACTATGCTTATTACCTAAATATGATTGAACCTATACAAGGGCACCTAATAAAACGCAAAACACGAGATTAGTTTTGGTATATGATAATAAACTGGAATAGAGAATTATATGCATCGTAGACATATTTATTGAACTGTATGGAAATAAATTGGAAGATGGAAGCAATTTTTATTTCATTTCCATTTACGTTTCTTCTATTTGATCTCCAAGGCCAGTCAAAGATGATTTTTAGATAACAGTCAACCAATTAAAGTGTCGTACTCTCACGTTATATACATATATGTTTCATTTTCTGTAGCTCTACTTCAAGACAATCCTGACTGTATTCGAGAATTGGCAGCACTAAAATCTTTTGTTTAGTATTAAAAAAAAATCATTAAAGTTACTACGTTATTTGTTTTTCTGCAACTGGATCTGTGTTATTCCGTTTGTGCCTTCCTTCCGGGAAAAGGTCATTTTCCCAACCACTCCTTCATCATGCCCACTCCTCTTCCATCTCCTCCTGGCCCCAATTTGCCACTCACTACAATATGTCGACCTAGGCAGCTACCTAAGTCCCCTACCCATTAGACCGCTAATGATTTGATCTTTTTGTGGCATCCAGCATCCGGGTTAATTCAGCATATGGCCATAGAATTCCTAGCATGACGAGCTGGCATCCAGAGTGGTCTTATCCAGAGAGTATACCGTATATTACACTAGCAATGTACTACAGGATAATATATCTTATGTGGGTTAATTAATGAGCATTTATTCAGTAAAGCGTGTATGTTGATGCATCAGCACAAGACTGGTGGAATTTTGTGACGCAATAAAAAAAAAAGGAGTCTTTGTAACTACAATTAAATTCGTTAAAACATCAAAATAAGCACACCTAAGCGGGAATTTATATTTTCAAAAAATGGTCCTTGAGCCTATTATTATTCTAGATAAGTAAAAAAACAAAGAAAAAAACAACAACATTGATACTATCTATTGCCACAGAAAATAGCCATTTTTTACCCGTCGTTGAATACACTGGAAAAACTATTTTTATGCTCTGTCATTTAATTGGTTTCCCGTTGTTACGCTATTTCAATCTCGCCTCAATATTTCTCTAAAAGTAAACGTACTGAAAAATTTGGTGAAAACTGCGCGCAACACCAGTCATCTATTTTTATAACAAAGAATCGTGAAAAAAGATTCTGAATCTGGCTGTCCCGACTCCAACACAAAGTTCGCGATGTTGATTAAACTCAGATTAGATGCAGGTTGCATAATAAACACGAAAATCCAGTTTCTTAACCTTTTCTATACTCAACTGGTCTGAGATGTATGGCATTAATGTATTGCGAATGAAGAAAATTAGGGATGAGGAAGGGAATTTCACCTGATCCAACTGAACCTCCCCTCTTTACGCCCTCGTTAGTTAGAGGCTTAAAGCATAGATCAATAAGAAATATTTTCGGGGGGGGGGGAGGCAAAACATGTATGTAGGGGATTTGCTCTTACAGTGTAAGTCAACTAACTAAAAGAATGTGTGTTAATTTATGGTCTTAATAAAAATTACTAAATATATTTAATTTAACTACGATGTTAAATTTACATCATAATACGTCCAATTTTTTGTCAAATATAGGGAGATGTCCCTCTTACCCCTTCTTTGAAAGTAAGATCAAACTGTAAATTTATCTGGACTTCCACCCAAAGACAAGGCATAAAATTATTCTGTTTTCCAGTGAAGATAGACGGAAGTGAAACAGTTGCTTTTGGTTTCCAGTTTCTCGTGATCACAATGTTATGGTTTATCACTCCACGGTTTTGACTTAACTCTGATCAACTTGGTATTGGAAATATAGGCTTTGGTAGTAACACCTGTCCTCACCCATACAAAACACCTATTCACATGTATGCAGTAGAATGTATAGAATAGAAATGCTGGAAGAAGACGTGAAAGTGATAACTGAATTCATTCAATAATCTAAACGGTAATCTCACATTACTTTTGTTTTCGTCATATATATATTTTACATTTGTTTACAATTTGTTCGGTAAGTATATTCACCTTCTTTGAAGATTTATTATCAGCAGTTCCCTTTTATTTCAACTGCAACCTTGAAGGTTTATAACGCCAGAATTCAAGGTTATGTCCCTACATCTTTGTGCTAAAATAGACACAAAAATTCTGCTATTATTAGCGACAAACAAAAAATAGTAATTAAAAAGGGTTAAAAATCTATTTCTGATTAGTACCATAGATATTCAGGAGGATAACAACAATGACTTGTTATTTATCCATCTAGAAAAGTTTATTCGACCAGAATAAAGCGCGCATGACGATTTTTATTGTACCGAATGAATTATTCAAACAGGTGGGCTGTTATAAAATGTCAGGTTGTACTTTTGTTACCATGCCGGTTTCGTAGAAGTGTAATGTCACAGGCTTGAGGGCCTATACTGCTTAAATCCGGGATTCGATCCCCGCGGAGGTCACAGCTCAGTTAGCCCCTTGTGTAGCCTTGCCCCAAAACATACAATTATGAGCACGAGCAAAAGGCCTCGTGTTCTTTGTACGACGATTGCTGTATCTAAAAAATAATCAATCCTTTCATAGGTGAGGCGTGTTGGTGGACGATCCATCCTGCATCAAAACAACGATCAGAGGGTGAGAAAGTAAGAGTCGGGGACGATTTAATCCTGGTCAGTGTTGCTACTGAACGTTACCTGGTAAGTATTTTTTGTGTTTACTTTCATATGTTTTATCAGCCTCTCTGATCTTTTATTAATTGTCTTCCTGAAACCCTGCAGTCATTGAATAATTTGGTGGTACAGATCATGATCACAGCAAGAAGTTTGATTGTTTCTTCTAGATTTGAACGTTAGTTTCAAAATAGACGCCATTTTATTACACACAGATAACACTACAGTTCAAGTTGTGTTTATTCAGTCCATTCACGAGGCCGAAATTATTCGTTATTATGAATGCCATCAGACACAAAAAAAGAAACATATTATAGTCCTGTTAGAATATATTTGATGCTAATTACTGTGAAAATTATACTTATATTTGCAAATTATAGATATATATATATATATATATATATATATATATATATGAGTAAATTCGATTATATTACCCTTTATTGAAATTATAATTACTGTGACTACCATCAATAAGTATATAATTTCTCTTTCGATGACGAGGAACCCACTTTGAGACTAATAATGCTTGGAGACGGCTTGAATGGGTAATGAAGAAAAACTTTGATATAAGGTTAACATAACAGCAATTGTACAACGTTTCGACAAGGTTTTGTCATCATCAGGTGCCAACCTTTTGATGATTTTTATATTCAGGTTACGAAGTTTAAAGATAGTTTCACGGTATGATTGGTTTATGGAGGTAGATAGGTGAGAGAACATACTGTAAAGTCACTGGTCGTTTGTTAATTTTCCGTAAATATTCTTCCCGAGGAACTTCAGCGATACAAGTCCTTTCTTAAATAAAACTAGTTTATTCTTTCTCAATACAACTTTTCAATACACAGAATTTCCACGGTCACTTCAACTTGAACACACGCTATAATTCACAACGGTTCACGCACTGTACTTCGGGCACTACCGCTCACTTGATTCAATTATCTGTCTCTATCTCTCTATTTGCAATTCTCTATCTCGTCACTTCTTGCCGGTCTTATATACAAAATAGAGGGGCGTCTGGCAAACACTCGAGCCTTCACGAACCTTCTAGATACTCATTACGTGTTACCAGCGTTACGTGAGTTCCGCTGTCGTAACAATACTTAAAAGGTTATACATGGAATAACAAAGATAAATGTTTAGACTTACACAAC